ACTTAGTTATGTCAACTGGTTCCACTAAATCCAATTAAGTAAATGTAAAGTAATGTACAATTTTTTTTACAAGAAAATGTATAAATTGCTAAATTTACTCAAATCAGTTTATTGAAACCAGTTGACAAATAAATTCAACACTTCATTTTATAGCGTATGTAAAAGTACTTCTATTTTTCTGATTATTGTGAGAAGTTTTCTGACCTGTAGTAAATTTTTTTGTCATTAAAATTAGTAATTTTCTCAGTGGCGGAGCCAGACATTTTTCCCAGGGGTGGCCAGACTGGGACCACTACTCACACAGGGGTGGCCAGGAAAATTACATGATTTTTTACTTGAAAGTTTCTGCAGATTTGTGTTTTGGTCATGTCTTTATGTCCTTTTAGGCAGTGGCTACCTTATAAACATGGGCATCAGAACCATTTTAAAAGTGGAGGAACACACTGTTGGGGGGCGGGGGGGGGGTGGTGTCTGGGGTCCACCCCCTGGATCCGCCCCTGGTTAAGGTATTTTTACTTCCTTCCAGTGGTGGGTACTAGTCCCTTAAAGCACAAAAGTGCTAATTGCGGACATAAACATTTGCMCTTTGGATTTTACTAGTTTTCTCTAGCTGTGTGGGGATTAGCACTTTCTAATTTTAAAATTGAGTAGCACTAATCTAAACTTTTCATTGATTATTGTCAATCATCTTTTATAGCAGGGGTAATAAGTCATCAGGAGTTACAGTTGAGAACAACCCCTAACYTTCTTAACTTTTTCTTGAACAGTAGAGAGGGCATGCCATCARAAACCAATGCCAGTCCACAACAACTATTTATTTTACACCACAAGTCAAAAGTCTGTTTCAACAAATCACCTCCCCAAACTGCAACAATAAGTGGCATTGGTTGAAAGCAATTTGTCGTGCCACCAGTTGGCAGTATTGCCCAAGAATGGCTCATGTTATCACTGGAAAGATGTTCTGGTGAACTGTGAGACAAAGTTGCACTTTAGTTTTAGCTTCRGCTAAGATTCTTTGGYCACATGCTTTAGAACGTGCGGAACTAAATAATTTAAATTGTGCTTTAGAATGTGCGCAACTAACTTTTGAAATAGCGCTGCCCACCACTGCTTCTTTCCTTCCTAGTTATTTCCTTCAAGTACTTTATACACCTACATCATGTACCAAAGTTAAAAATCATTTTCCCCCAAAAAATTCAGTGCTGAGGAACTTTGCTGAAATTGGAAAATGAATTAACTAAAATTTTCAAGTTCAAACTAAACAGAACTGAAGCTAAAATCAGCAAAACAGTAGCTAAAACCTATGATTTAAAAAAACAGCTACAACCTGCGACGAGCCAAGGGGTACCTTAAAGCTAAAATTAAAACTAACAAAAACAGATGTGCTGAAGTTAGCATAAGATTAAAATAGAGCAAGATTTGAAAAAGATTTCAGAAAAAAAAGGAAATGAAGATTTCTAAATTTACTTCTATGGAAAAAGTTTTTTTWAAATAGAAATAGTAAAAGTCAGATGTATGAGGGGCCGTATAGGTATGTGAGAGTGGCAGTATGGCTTTCACGGCCCCTCATACAGATGAGCTCATCAGCTTCATTCCTTCAGAAAACAGAAAGGTGTTCGACTCACGGTCGTTGCACTGCGTCCCRGTGTAGGAGGTCATGGAGCAGTCGCAGGTGTAGTTCTCCCACTGCTGGATGCAGATCCCCATGTTGGCACAGGAGTCCTCCTGACAGGTGGTGCTTGGACCTGGAGTCCAAAGATTCACGCCCCCCCAAAAAACAAACCACAGCAAACACACACAAACACACAGAGACAAACWGTGTTATATTTGTTTTTCTCCCCTTTACTCCTGTTTWAATGCGAGGCCACTTTGTTGTTTAAAAACCACTGATGAACTGCAAAACTGTTCATGAACGACGTGCCAGGAGCTGCAGATCGATTTCATTTTCCCTCTAAAATATGATGTCAAAGTGCAGAAAGTGGTGCCAAAAACACATGATGGCCCCAGACTYAGCTGCAGAGAATCAGGTCGTTCAGCAGGTGCCGATTTATTTAAGTTTAGATTTAAAGTTTTGGATCAGAATCTGTTGGAAAATGTTGTTAAAATGCATCAAAAGAAGTTTAGGAACTCATGATGAGAGAAACTGAATTCAGTGTTTTAAAAATGCTAAATCTGGTTGCGGATTTCAATTCTTTGGATTTCTAAGTTTTTATCTTAATCTTGGTTTGTAATATTAAAATACCTTCAAAT